GCTTTCCCCCATTTATACTATGCAACCCAGAGAGGTTAAGTAGTTCACACAGCTAGCCAGTTGCAGAAGCAGGGCTAGAATACTAAAGAGAGCTGGGATGTATATTAGCACTCTAATCCAAACTCTTCATCTAATAGAAAAGGAAACTAAGGCCCAGAGAAGCATAATCTTGCCTAAGGACATGCAGTTAGCAGCACCAAAAATAAAACTCAAGGATGTCAGTTCGCTGGTCTTGCTCTGCCAGTCCAGTGACTCACAGTTCATTTTGCTACACCTCATCACTAGTCTTGCTCTGCTTAGAAATAGCCAGAATTTCCCCTTCCCTTGGGTCCTTGAATGGGCCAGGCTGTACACTCCCTCCCGGGGCAAGTCAGGACCCATGCAGGACTAGAACCCCCGGAGTTGCTACTCCATATGGCTGGCTGGGTGCCGGGAGAACCATATTCATTTTACTCACATACCACAGCCACTCCCAGGACTTTCAGGGGCAACTTCCCAGGAAAGTGGCCCCAGCCCTAAGCAAGCGGGTGAGGCATGTTGGCACAAGCTTATAGGCCAGAGTGGGGTGAGTCACCTCAGGGGCACAGCCCTCCAGCTTCCTCTTCATTCAGCTTAAGCCTTGGGTTCCCCAGGAGAAGGATAGGTGGAGAATAGGGAAAAGAAAAAACCTGGTGCTTGAACTTCAAAGTAGGGAAGAGCAGGAAGTGGGGCAGGGATGACCCCCAGGTAGAGCTCGGAGAACACTGGACAAGCCCCCAGGAAAATGGAAGCCTAGAATGGAAACGACTCCCTACAGGGGTTGGTGGTTCAGCTGGAAGGAGCACTGAGTTCTGCTTCCCAGTCCCGCATCTTCTCCTGGGATCCATTTGCCACGCTGCCCTCCTCTACCCTCACCACACACCTCTGCTCTTTCCCCCATGCAGAGTGGGGAATTTCGCTTTTGTAGAGGGAAACTGAGGCCCAGCAAATGGAGTCAGAAGAGTGTTAGGGATAGCTCCAGGAGCAGAGGGAGTTTCAACTCCATCACCTCCTCACCCGGGGATGTGGATCTGCCTCTACTGAAGGGAGCTTTAGAGGACTCAGCATTGACGGTATTGAGGCCCTTCCTGTACACAATTTAAAATGTTTGAATATATGCATAGTAAGTGTGAAATGAGAATGAAGGAGTCCGTAAATCCTGGAAATCTCCATTATAATATTTTAGCACTTTTATGGAAATATAAAATGTCAAGTTTTCAGAATTTCTTTTCTTTTCTTTTTTTTTTTTGAGACAGAGCCTCAAGCTGTCACCCTGGGTAGAGTGCTGTGGCATCACAGCTCACAGCAACCTCTAACTTCTGGGCTCAAGCGAGTCTCCTGCCTCCGCCTTCCAACTAGCTGGGACCACAGGCACCTGTCACAATGCCTGGCTATTTTTTGGTTGCAGCCATCATTGTTATTTGGCAGGCCTGGGCTAGATTCAAACCCACCACCTTAGGTGTATGTGGCTGGTGCCTTAGCCACTTGAGCCACAGGCGCCGAGCCCTGAATTTCTTTTTCTCATTCTTTTTGTGCCTCTGATTGGCTGGTGTTCTGGGCACATCTCAATTCTGCCTGCTAGGAATTCAACTCCACCTTGCAAACTACAGAGTCCCAGAGAGTCAGGAAGAAAGGCCTAGGACTTCCCCTCCAAGGGACGCCTGAGAAAGCCTCCCACCCCTCATCCTGCCCTCCACTCCCCTCGCCTGCCAGAGTACCAGGCACAGCAGGCCAGCCAGGAAACAGGAGACGCCGCCAGCCAATTTCCCCTCCCTCCTACTCTGTCCAAGGCTTCACAATTCCAGAATCTGAGCCAACTCCCTGATAAGGCTGGGCGGGTTTATGGAAAGAGGCACTAAGGAGTGCCAGCCATGCTGACCTGTGACCACCCTCCACCCCTCATCCCCCCTCAACCCACCCCCTCATCTCTCCTAAGTCACTTCCCCAGCAAATTGCTCTGGCTACCTTTAGAAAGCCCTCTGTCCATCCTCAGCAGGAGAAGGGGAGGAGGTACCGGGCTGAGGTGAGGCAAGTCAGAGATAGAAGCACCTAAATTGAGAACAGAGATGGAAGTGCCTTGTTCAAAGCAATTCCCATTTTACAGATTGGTTGCATTCCAAAAGCCTGTTGTTAATTTTCCCTCTAATGTGAATCAATTAGATTGACTGTTTATTGACCATGTTTTATGTATCAGGCACTGTGCCAGATGTGCGTTGCTTTATTTAATCCTCCTGAGAATCCTGTGAGGTTAATCTTATTCTCCCTTTGTGGATAAAGAAATGGAATCTCAGAGAGGTTAAATAATTTGTCCTCAGCCACCCAGCAGAGTCAGGGTTGGAAAGAGATTCTCAATCCCAAGCCTAGTGGCTATTCCATTGTGCCACACTCCTTTAAGCAGTAGTTAAGCCACTGGAACCCCTTTAATTCCTTATGCATAAAAAAAAAAAAAGTTGACATGTGCAAAGAGGAAAAAGAAAACAGTGTTAAAATACTAATAAGTTATTGCAGAAAAACGATCAGGTGGACTTGGAGAGTGTTCTGTTGTCGAGGATGAGGGTTCCTCATGGAAAGCGACTTTACTGAGGAGAGGATGCAGAAGTCACCCCAGACACTTCTAAATCCACAAAGAAGAGGTGGGTCCTTGCAAAGACTTAGGAGCTTGCTGATCCTGGCTTAGTATCTATCTTCATTCCTGACTTGTGTCTTTTCTCTGAGGCAGCAGCTGTGTGTGGAATTCTTTTGAGTTAAGAAATACAACAAAGAGGCGGCAACCATGCTCAGTGGGCAGGGTGCCAGCCACATAGGCTGAGGCTGGCGGGTTTGAACCCAGCCCCAGCCAGCTAAACAACAACGACAACTGCAACAAAAAATAGCCGGGCGTTGTGGCAGGCGCCCGTAGTCCCAGCTACTCGAGAGGCGGAGGCAAGAGGACCTCTTGAGCCCAAGAGTTTGAGATTACTTTGAGCCATGATGTCACAGCACTCTACTCAGGGTGATGGAGAGAGACTCTCTGTCTCAAAAAAAGAAAAGTGGGGACAAGAGGACAAGGAAGACAGAAAGTTATTTCTGTATAGGTCACATAACAAGGAGGGGTAAGAAGTAAGAGACTTACTGTATGTCTGTGTAAGAGCTGAGCAGCTGAGGTGACATTCTTTTTTTATTTAAGGTGACGTTTATATGACTTTATCAGTGAGAAGGGCAAGCACGGAGCCAAGCGCATCCTTTCTCTAAAGGGCAGGACTGGTGACAGATGGCCTCACAGAACTTGGTCTCCAGGAGAGCAGCTTCTAAGCGTGTAAGGGCAGGCAGGGAGTCAAAGGCATTTGGACCGTGGAATGTTCCCTACTTGCACTAATTTCCCCAAAGGATCTCATCCAGGTCCACAGCTTTGTATTATCTATATGCTGAAAGATTCTGGCTGCTTCTTTCAGCTCTAGGGTGATAACAGCCAGGGCCACTTAGATATCGCCACGTTCATCTTATTCCCACTGGCCCCCATCTGTTCCTCCCTGGGCTTTCTCATGCAGTAAATGGTCCACCCTTCCAAGCAGAAAGCTTAGGAGCCATTCCAGATTCTTTTCTTTCATTCCGCACAATTAATCTATCAGTAAGATTAAAATAAGCCTGCACTTCTTACGGTGGCTGACACCCCTGCCTCTCTCTCTGACTCCATCCCACACGCTACTTTTTTACACTTACTGAGCTCCAGCCTTCCTTCTGTTCTTTAAACATGTCAACGTCATTCTGAGCTCAAGGCTCTTGCATTGGCTGTTCCCTCTACCTACAACTTCCTTTCCCACCTCATTGCCTGGCTAGCTTCTCATTCTTTAGGACTCCGGTCAAATAGCAGCTTCTCAGGCAGCCCTTCCCTGACCTCCTGATGTAAAGTTTCTCTAAATTATTCTCAGTTACCTTTCTACATGGTACCAGTTCATCTCCTTTATTTATTTGTTACCTCTGTTTATATTGTCTGTCTCTACTCATTAGCGTATAAGCTCATGTAGGGATGTCTTAGCAGACACTTAGCAGAACATTGCATGAAGTAACAATGAATGAATGGAAGAAGGAAGTTGTAGGTTTCTAATTCAAAGAATACATCCTTCGAGAGTTAAGCTTTTCATACCCATTATAAGGTTGGGGGTAAGTACGGTTGTTGTTCATAGGGCCTTCAATATATCTGAATTTTGAAAGAGAATTGTTTAGACAAAAGCCAGAATTAGCTAATTCCCAATCTGGGCATAGCAGAGCTAGCACCTGATCAGCTCCTAACCAATATCAGGTGATAGTTTGTCTAGGTGATTGGTCGTTTCAGGAACAAATCTGATACATATGAATAGTGTGTATGTGTATTATATACGGTAACTGCCCTGTATGGAGCCCCTCCTATGTGACACTGTGTTAAGTACTCTATAAGCACTATTATGATCGATCCTCACAGAAAAAACAAAAAAGGCAGCCCAGGCACGGTAACTCACGCCTGTAATCCTAGCTCACAGGGAGTCCAAGGGCTGGATTGCTTGAGCTCAGGAGTTCAACACCAGCCTGAGCAAGAGCAAAAAACTCTGTGGGTAAGTATTAAGCCCATTTTACAGTTGAGAAAATGAGGGTTTTCTGAAATTCAAACCTTAGTGTGCCTGATTGTAGAGCACGTAGCTCTGCTGTCCGGCATGCCTGGCTAGATTTCTAACAGCGCCTTGAGATTCACAAGGTGTGTACTGCTGGCTCAGTTTTGGAGACAACAAAGCTAGGGTTCAGAAATATTCAGTGGTTTGCCTGAGATCATCCAGCTAGTCAGTGGTGGCCTGGAATTGAGTCCAGGTCCTTTTGACTTTAATCTCAGGATTCTTTCTACTATGGTTTACAGACCCTCTTGAAATAAGAGGTGAGGCTGAGCAAGATGTATGTGCCATGGGCCCTTGGATACCAAGGGCAGGGAAAGGGTGCTGCATGGCAGGAAAAGCTGATATTCCTCTCTCTGCCAGGCATTCCTGGAGAAGTACGGATACCTCAGTGAACACCGGCTCAAAGCTCCCACCTCCACTCGATTCGGCAATGCCATCAGGTAGGATGGAGGGATGTGGAGGCTTGGGGGCTGCCGGGGATGCCAAGCTCAAACCGTTTTCTCCCTTGTCCTGGAAGGCTGGCCAGCCTCCCTCCCTGTCCTCACCCTTACCACCCACCCTTCCTCTGTGGTCCTTTATCTCAATTCCTCCCAACAGAGAGTTTCAGTGGGTGTCCCAGCTACCGGTCAGTGGTGTGCTGGACCGTGCCACCCTGCGCCAGATGACTCGCCCCCGCTGTGGGGTTGCAGACACTGACACTCATGTGGCCTGGACTGAGAGGATCAGTGTCCTGTTTGCTGGACGCCGGGCCAAAATGAGGCGTAAGAAACGCTTTGCAAAGCAAGGTGAGCACTTAAAATCCAGCTAGGCTGAGGTTCCCCAAAGTTTGAAGCCCAAGGCTAGAAAAACAGCCTGGCCTCCTGTAGTCCCAGCTACTCGGGAGGCTGGGCAAGAGAATCACCTAAGCCCAGGAGTTGGAGGTTGCTGTGAGCAGTGTGACGCCACAGCACTCTACCAAGGGCGACAAAGTGCCCTTGAAAAAAAAAAAAAAAAACAGCCTGGCCTGGACTGGGCTTTGTCAGTAACCTCTCTTCTGCAGAACAAGGAGAAGTGGGCTAACAGGACCTCTTGACTTGAAGACCATGATTGTAAATACAGACATTTAAATGATACACATATTGATGAATTTTCATTGTACAAGTGTTTTCTAGATTACACCCAATGGAGCCCACTTAATTCCTTTATCAATTTTCAGTGCAGAGCAGTCTATATTTTAACTGAAGTTATTTTCATCTGAATCAATTCTTTCTTGTAACCATCATTCAACAAAGATGAGTTCCATTGATCCGATTTATTTTGTCCGTAATGCTTTTTTTTTTCCCTTGGATGATAGTCTTGTTCTACCCCCTGGGCTAGATTGCCTTGGCGTCATTATAGCTCACTGCAATCTCAAACTACTATGTGCACGTGATCCATCTGCCTCAGCCTCCTGAGTACCTGGGACTACAGGAGCATACCACCATGCTCAGCTCATTTTTTCCCTATGTTTTAGTATAGATAAGGGATTCACTCTTGCTCAGGCAGGTCTCCAATGCCTAACCCCCAAGTGATCCTCCTGCTTTGACCTCTTAGAGTATTAGGATTACAGGCATGAGCCATGCACCTGGCGAAATATTTTTTAACAGCTTTATTGAGATATATCTCACATATCATACAACTTACTCATTCAAAGTATACAATTCAGCGGTTTTTAGAATATTCACAGAATTGTGCAACCATTACCACCGTCTAATTCCAGGACACTTCATTGAAACCTCATACTCATTAACGGGCACTCCCCATTCTGTCCTCCCCTCACCCCTGGCAACCACTAATGTGCTTTTTGTCTCTACCGATTTGCCTGTTCTCAACATTTCATCATAACGCATTTTACACACTGCCGCTTCTGCTGAGGCTTCAGGAGATTCTATAATTTGCTGTGTAAGTTTGCAAGTGGAGGTACCACGTTCTTCCTACAGTAGCAGGGGCCTGCTGGAAGTCAGAACTCCAGAGTCCTGCCCAGGAGAAGCTTCTAGTTGTTCTCTCCCCGCCCCTCCACCCCCTTTTCTTCCCTCTTCCTCTTTGGATTTTGGAGCAACCTATGGAAGGAGGTACAGTGCCAGGTGATACGGGTGCCTGAAGGGGCCATAAAGCCAGCTCTGCTCACCCAGGACTTGGGGATGGGATCCAAAGCGGTCAACCTTCTCCAAGGGAGCAGTCTGGGGCAAGACAGGGAGTGGCTCAGGCTCCTGGCCCCCAGCCATTCCTTCCTTCCTGGAAGGCACACTAGCAACTCCTTCCCTGCTCCCCTCCCAAGGAAAACAGTCATTCCTCTCAATTCTTATTCCTAGTCATCCTCTCTATCCTTCCTCTGAACACAGACACACACAGAGTTTCACAGAGGATTTTTATTCTGAGACATGTCACCTTCACCGGCTGCCAAGAATGAGAAAAGTGCCCACTCTCTCCCTCACCCATGGAGTGAGGGGGTCCCCTAGCTGCAGGGGCCATCTATAGTAAAGGATTAAAGTTTCGTGAGGAGAAAGAGCCTAGGAATTCGTTGCCCACAGCAGGGTGTGAAAGAGCCCAGCACCAGCCAGTCTGGTGCCTAGTGAAGACTGAGTGACCAGCAGCCCTGTTACTGATACAGAACGAACCCTCAGCCATGCTCTGGACCCCAGGCCCTCCCTCTACCTTCCTTGTCTCTCTCCCTTCCTTAGAATCATTCTCTCTCCCCTCCCTGGGGGTTGGTCACTGGCTGGGAGGCAAGGTTGGGTGGCTGCCAGGCCAAATAGGCCCAGGGAGGCAGCATTGCCTTGAATGGAGCTTGGCTCAAGGATGGGAGAAGGGACATGCCCCTCCCCCTCAGCCATGGGCAAGGAGGGGCAGAGAGTCCAGCTCCTCTGCTAAGACCTCCATCTGGAGAGTTTCAGCTCGTGCTTTGACCCAAAGCATAGGTTTATAAGCTGGAGATGAATAAATATGCCTGCCTATCTCTGTGCAAAGAGTGTGGGAGGCCTACCCCAGCTACTTACTCTGTGAGCCGGGGTGGGCATCTTCCTTTGGGTTTTAGCTACCCTACATCTACCTACACATTGGGTCTTTGGCTTGAGGTCACAGTCTCCACCCCTGAGCTTGCTGGGCTCAGAAATAGTTCATGAGAACCCTCCGATCAGGGCCTCCTGGCCACCCTGCTCCCGGGTGCATGTTGAACTGCAGATGGACCCAGACTCAGTTGACCCGGGGCTGGGGCAAGAGGCCAGAGTCTCAGCCTTCAGGGAGGAATTACAGTTTGCGGCAGAGATGGAAAAATTTCTCTCAGTCAGTGACAAAACACACCCTTTGTTCTTATTTTTTATTTATTTATTTTTTTTTTACCTCAGAGCTCTCCAGAGTCCCTGAGGAAGCGAGGAGGAAAGCAAGGGGGCAGGAAAGGACCTCACATAAACGGGTCTTGTGATTGTTGGCCAGCAGCGGGCTAGGGCCCTGGAAAGGGCAGAATGAAGCCACCAGGAGGTGACAGGAGGGTGTGAGGCACAATGGGGGGGGCAGGGTCACAGCTGTGGCCTCCATGACCCCACCTTTCCTCCACCCTGACACTGTAAGGCCGGGGCTGGATGTGCTGGCAGCAAGAGGCACAGAGCTGTTTTGAGACTCAGCCCAGGCTGTGGGAAGGAATAAGGCCCCAGACCAAGTCCACACAGCTCCTTCAGGTTGGGGCTTTTCTGGGTGAAGGCTGCACCCCTCCATCATACTGGGACCCCTTCAGCCCAAGACACTGCACAGGGCACCCTCCAGGCTAAGGGCAATCCTCAGTCTGAGGGTTCTCCTTGGTAACGCAGTAGCTCACAGGCAAATGAGGGGCTGCCTGGGGCTAGGGCCATGTCTTCCCATCAGATCAGGGGCTCCCATGGGGAGGGCCCACCTCCCCATCATACTGGGTCTGTGGGGACCAGACTTAGGCTCTGCGCAGGTGTGACTGATGTGGTCTTTCTGGGTGGCAGGCAACAAATGGTACAAACAACATCTCTCCTACCGCCTGGTGAACTGGCCCGAGCGCCTACCAGAGCCGGCAGTTCGGGGGGCCGTGCGTGCTGCCTTCCAGTTGTGGAGCAACGTCTCGGCACTGGAGTTCTGGGAGGCCCCAGCCACGGGCCCCGCTGACATCCGCCTCACCTTCTTCCAAGGGGACCACAACGATGGACTGAGCAACGCGTTCGATGGCCCAGGTGCTGACATAAAGCCTCTCCCCACATAGCAAGAGGGGATCCCAACTAGGAGAAGCAGTTTGGTGTGGCAATGAAGCATTCACTTTCCTTGTGACCTTGGCCAAATGACCTCCCCTGCAAAACCCTTCAGTCTCCTTATCATAAAATGGGAACGTGGTCCCTGCTCTGTCAGGTGCCGTGGGTCCAAGGGTCTGCATGGAAAGTGCTTTGCAAACTCTGGAGAGTAGGATATGTTCTAGGAGAATCTCCAGAGGTCCCATCATACACCTCCTGCCTCTAGACAGGCCTGTGCTTCTCCTGTTCTCCAAGGGTAGATGTTCTCCACACCAAAGCCTTAAAGCTCACCTACCCACCCCCACTATTCCTCCTCCTCCTCCAACTGCCCCACTCCTGCCTCCCCTCCCCTATCCTAACTACCACCATTGCTGCCCCAGGGCAAGAGGCACCCATCCTCTGACAGCCACAGATGCTTCATATACCCATGCCACAGGTGTCTGCCCTCAACCTGAGGCTTCTGGCTGCAGTTTAAACCACTCTATTCCCAACCGTCCAACACTGGCTGTCAGAACCTTAATATGAGCTATTTGCTCATTTCCTCTCTCCTGAAGAGGAAGAAAACCAGATTAGACCCCTTCAGGGTGGCTGGGAATGTAGCACCACCCCCATCCACCCCTTGCCTCCTCCTGAAACCCATCTAACAGCACAGTCTGCTTCTAGGCCCTGCTGCGGGGCCTGAGTTAGCACTGGGAGAACCTAAGCTTCATGAGGATCCACATGGAGCACACATATGTGATTACATGTAACTCACTTCACTCATGGTATCTGTAGAGATGGTTACATCCAGACCTAGGGAGAGTCTGGTCGCTAAGACAGCAGCACTGCACTGGATGTCAGGACACTGGGCTCCTCAAGCAGCATTCTGATTTGGGACAGATGCTTTATGTTTTGAAGTTAGGTCTTCTCCCCTCTGAAACCTACCCACCTGTCTTTCAGAGAGAGCTGAATGGAGAGAGCAGTGCTTGAAACAGCTCAAGGCCTATTCAAAGTAGGACACACATATATTCCTCCTAACACGCCCGACTCTCCAAGCCCCATGAGGCTCTTCTTATAATGCCAGCCTTCTGACCTTTGTCGGTCCCAATGGACCTGGGCTCTGAGAAGGCAAAGCTGGAGGGACCCTAAACAAGCTTCCAGGCTAACATTATTACTGTGCAGTTGACTGACCCTTGTGTCCGGGTCACCTGCTTCTAGGGAAAATGAATTGTGAAGGGCGAGGCCCTGGAAACTGCATGTTTAATAAGCTCCATGTGGGACATATAAAAGCTTGAGAATCCCTGAGCCAACCCAACTCCCTATTACCTATTACAAGCAGGGAGACAGAGGCCCACAGAGGAGCCCTGGCAGAGGAGGGCTTGTTACTCAATGTGCACCATAAAAGTGCACCATATCGTAAGTTTATAGTTTGCTGAACTGTCATACACCAAACATATCCCAGTATCCAGATCAAGAAACAGAACTAAAGGTCCTGTCATGCCCACTTCTAGGGGTAAGGGCTGCATCTATTTCCAGATCTTTTTGAAAATAATTCTTATGTAGCCTTTTTGTAAGACAGCAGTTTGTAATATAAATGTAAACACATGCATATGTATTTATTCTTCACAATACCCCTGTAAGGAAGAAGCTCATGATCATCGTTCCCATTTTCAAATCAGGAAACTAAGACACAGAGAGGTTAAGATAATCTGCCCAAAGTCATTCAGCTAGTAAATGATAAAATTATGATTTGAACTCAGGCAGCTTGGCCCCACGTTGTATCTACTCCACGCTGTGATTAGGCATTCATGCCACACAACCTACCTAGACATCTCCTCACCTCTGGACGCTTTAGCTTCTGAAAGAAATTATGCAGCCCCAAACAGCCCACACTCCCCAGTGGCATTTGCACTAGGCCCTGAGTACTTACGGGCGTCGTGGGCAACGTCTCTCTCTGATCCTCTGCGCCGCCTGCAGGGGGCGCCCTGGCACATGCCTTCCTGCCCCGCCGTGGTGAAGCGCACTTCGACCAAGACGAGCGGTGGTCCTTTAGCCGCCGTCGCGGGCGCAACTTGTTCGTGGTGCTAGCGCATGAGATCGGCCACACGCTCGGCCTCACCCACTCGCCGGCGCCACGCGCGCTAATGGCGCCTTACTACAAGAGGCTGGGCCGCGACGCGCTACTCAGCTGGGACGACGTGCTGGCTGTGCAGAGCCTGTACGGTGAGCTCCTGGCCACGCCTCCCACTCTTGCCTTCCACGCCCCGCCCCCACCTCTAGTCCTTAGGCACCTGCTCCTCAAGTAAGATTTCCCATACTAAGTGCAGGGATCTGGCCTCTTCGTCAACTGCCCTGCCCAATCCTAAAGCCCCAGGATCCTCCAAATATCAAAACCTCAGGTTCCTCTGCCCAATCTCGCCATCATTCCCAACCAATTCCTGTGCACAGATTGCCCCCCTTGCGTTCCATTTATTGGATTCCCGCTCAGACCCTCTAACCCCCTCACTCATACCCCAGCCTCATCTTTGACACCCAATCCTCCAGCCCACCTCTTCCCCCATGATGTAGCTTAAGGGCCTGTTCCTTCCCACAGCCTCACTAGCTCTCCCCTAACCTTTCCCTCAAGGACCCTGGTGCCCCTTCCCCCAAGCATGTGCCTCTGCCTAGTGTTGGAGTCAGATAAATGAGCCAGTGTCACTTCCCTGGTACCTGCCTCAACCCAGGCCACCTCCTTCAGAGTCCCATGGACAGAGCCAGGAGGCCTGGGTTCAAGTCACCTTCCATCCCTGATTAGCAGTTGCTATTGAAAAAAGCATTTTCCCTTTGAGGGCCCTCAGTTTTACTTTCTGTGAAAAGGTATAATAATTGAGGCCCTGCTTACCTCACAGGGCTGTTTTTCTAGTGGGTATGAGCCTGCATTGTAGCCTGAGAAACCTACACAACCTACTAGTAATGGCTGCCAGTCTCATATGGGCTGGGCACATAATATACTCCCTACACACCCATGAAGTACTTATCTTTGTCCACAGATCAAGAGAATAGGGCTCAGAGAGGTTAGGTAACTTGCCGAGGGTCACACAGCTAGGAAGTTGCAGACCAGGATTTGGGAGCTGATACCAAATTCTAAGCTTGTTGGACTCTCCTGATAAGTGAAGGACAGTGATGCAATTATTAGAACTGCTGTAGTTATCACACAGGTCCCTGAACTCTGTCCTCATGCTACCTGTGTTGCCCAGGATTCCAGGAAGAGGACCCTCTGCTCTTCCTAGTTTTAAACTCTTGCCTGGTCCTCCACTCCAGTTTTACTGCTGTAGGACCCTCTTCCTCAGAAGATTCCTGAGTTTAATTCTACAGTTAACACCAACAACCAGGGACAACTTTGAGCTCCCATTCCCACTTGCCTTTCGTGCCCCCTCCTATTAGATCAGTGGTTCTCAAGCTTCCTAATGCCACAGCCCTTTAATACATTTCCTGTGGGTCCTGACCCACATGTTGAGAACTGCTGTTAATCATGAAAAGAACCAAGAGGTCTTGAGTGAGCAATGTTCTCCCCCACCCCTATGTGTTCTCACCTTCTTCTCTCCTTCCCCATAAAGGGAAGCCTCTGGGGGGCTCAGTGGCCATCCAGCTCCAAGGAAAGCAGTTTACTGACTTTGAGGCCTGGGACCCCCACAGCCCCCAGGGCAGGCGCCCTGAAACCCAGGGCCCTAAATACTGCCACTCTTCCTTTGATGCCATCACTGTAGGTAAGATGGTCTTGCCTGTGCTTTACTTCTTTCTTCCCTTCTTCCCCACATTTCCTGGGGTTTCCGGAGCTGGACTATAAAGTAGGCAGATGGATTATAAAATCCAGTAATTCCAAGCCACAAACATGCTGCAAGGTGGCAAGCCCACAGCATGCAACACACTGCTTCTTGCCAGGCATGGTGGCTCTAATCCTAGCACAGTGGCTCACATCTGTAATACTACCACTCTGGGAGGCTGAGGCTGGTAGATCACCTGAGCTCAGGAATTCAAAACCAGCCTGAGCAAGAGAGAGATCCCATCTCTATTAAAAATAGAAAACCAACCAGGTGTTGTGGTGGGCACCTATTGTCCCAGCTACTGGGGAGGCTGAGGCAGGAAGATCACTTGAGCTGAGAGTTTGAGGTTGCTGTGAGCTATGATGCCATGGTACTCTACTCCAGGCAACAGAGTGAGACTGTCTCAAAAAAAAAAAAAAAAACCTCCAAAAAACAAAAATCACTGCTTCTTGCCACCTACTTTCCCCTCTATCCTAACTATGCATGCCATGTGCTATGCTTACCAGTTTAGGAAACAGGGTTCTACAATAGAACCTTCCTCGGAAAGATGGCAGGAGGCTGACAGTCATTCCTTAGCTCTCTCTTGTCTCTGGGCAGATGGGCAACAGCGACTATACATTTTTAAAGGGAACCACTTCTGGGAGGTGGCAGCTGATGGCAACGTCTCAGAGTCCCGCCTACTACAGGAGAGGTGGGTAGGGCTGCCCCCCAACATTGAGGCTGCTGCAGTGTCACTGGAAGATGGAGATTTCTACTTCTTCAAAGGTACCAGCCCTGGGAAAGCTGGGAAAATTGAGGCCTAGAGAGGGCATGTGTCCTGCCCATGGTCAAAAGAAGAGAGGGGAGGAATCTCACACGGCAAATGAGTCCATGGTGGAATCTCTGCTCCAGTCTGAACCTGTGACCTCAGGGTAGACATGACCGGAAGACACCTTTCAGTGATGAAGTGGGGAGCAGTGGGTGTCAAGGTTGTCCCTGGGAGAGTTTCAGAAAAGAGTCTAGACAGGGATCAGAGGGCTGCTCTTAATCTCTGCAATTCAGCGAGAAGAGCCAATCTTCCTTGGAATCCTGCTCTGTGAGATTGGGCATGTCACTGGACTTTTGGAGCGAGCATTTCTTGAATGAGAAACATAATATCTCAGGTTTGTTGGTGAAGGAGGATTAGAAGAGAATAATGACTGAAGAGTGGGCAATATATTACTAGATACAGGGCAATCCTCCAGTAAATAGTATCCATTATTCATTCATTCGACCAATATCAAGTGCCTTCTATGCACTAGACATGGTAGGTGTTGTTGGTCATAGAGCAGTGAACAAAACATGGAAATATTAGTAAGGGTAATGAAGAAAGATCTGTGCCTTCTGGCTTTCCACCCCCCACCAAGTGGGCCTTGCAATCTACCTTCTGCTGACACCTGCTGGAAGTCTACATCATAACAGTCCCTCCCCTCAACCTCTCTACTGTTTATAATTACTAGTATAATCCGTTTTGAAAGTCGTAACTGCAAAGAACTGCAGGCTCCAACTGGAGGAGGAGGAGAGGCAAGGGGGGCAGAGGTGGGATGGAGGACCAATGGCTGGGCACCTCCAGCTCACTCTGGCTCTCCCAATGCCCCACAGGGAGCAGATGCTGGAGGTTCCGGGGCCCCAAGCTAGTGTGGGGTTTCCCTCAGCTGTGCAGGGCAGGAGGCCTGCCCCGCCATCCCGATGCAGCCCTCTTCTTCACTCCTCTGCGCCGCCTCATCCTCTTCAAAGGTGCCCACTACTACGTGCTGGCCCAAGGGGGACTGCAAGTGGAGCCCTACTACCCTCGCAGTCTGCAGGACTGGGGCGGTGTCCCTGAGGAGGTCAGCGGTGCCCTGCCAAGGCCTGATGGCTCCATCATCTTCTTCAGAGATGACCGATATTGGCACCTTGACCAGGCCAAACTGCGGGTGACCACCTCAGGCCGATGGGCCACTGAACTGCCCTGGATGGGCTGCTGGCATGGCAACTCAGGGGGTGCTCTGTTCTGAAGGCACCTCCCCACCTGATGAACCCTTGGTGCCTTCAGGGCCAACGTGTTTCCCCTGTCCCAGGGGCAGAACCTGTCTTGGCTGCCTCTGAGCCTCCCTGCGGAAGACCAGGCAGCAAATCTGCCTTTGTTCTACCACAGAGAGGTGGGGGTGAGATCCATCCTAAGAGAAGCAAAAAGGATCCCAGACTCTTCGGCCCTTCTCCAAGGACCTCTTTCCTCTGCAAGCCTGGGGGATTGCGTACAGAGGCACTGGGATCCAACCAGGGGGATGCAAAACTCAACAGAGAGGTTGGGAACTATTTGGCAAGACTGTCCCCTTCTTAGGGCCTCCTGGTTCTGTTCTTGGAGACTTGTGTCATATTTCATTAGGAAGCTTGGATGGGGGTGAGGGCATGGTGTCTCCAACCTCAGAGGCTCTTTGTGGGGTCAGGACACAGTGCAGGAGGAAGACTGATGCAGGCCTCCTGGGCCTTGGTTGTTTGTCTGGGACTGGAATAAAGAGGCACCTCTAGCCAGTGCGCCTAGAGACGAGAAGCAGACTTCCTTGGAATGCTTCTTTCATCTTTCCAGGGAGAGCAGATGGCACCAGGTGGGAGAGACCAGGACTGTGCTCTTCCATCCAAGCCAGGACTAACCAGCTGTGCTTGTGGGCTTGTAATGGAGAGAAGGGGCCTGCCTTTCCTCCAAAAGCTAAATGTCCTTGCCTCCCCTTCTGCCCCCCAGGCAAGACGGAGAACCACATGCATGGGGCAGGGGTTTCCCTGGGGTGGGCAATGCTGCAAGCTGGGGATGCAGCCTTCACAACTCTGCAGGTTGGGGGAAGCCTTGTGCTCACAATGACTCCACTCTTCAGGCCACACACGCAGCATTCCCAAGGCTCCTGTTGTCTGGCCAAGAATAGCTGGGATTCCTGAAGAAGGAACCAGCTCCCCAGTCTCCAGTCTTCTGCCTCAGCCAGTCCCAGCATTTATTTTAACATCTGGTTCTCTAGCACGCCCCCCCCCACACACACACACACCTGCCAGTGTCTCTTCTGCACACACAGTGACCTCAGCAAGCCAGGGCTTCTGGGGGGAGTGAAGGAGGGGGGCATTCAGCTCTCAGGAATGAAGATTCCTGGGCAGTCACGTTCATTTTCTTCTCTGTCCAATGGGGAGATGGCCTTTGACTGCCCTTGGATGCAAGCGCTCCTACTGTTCTGGAGACAAGAGGGAGGGGACCCCCTTGTCGGCCCTTTTCCCTCTGGCTTGAACCCCAGGAGGGTCTCATCTTCACCATCCCCACTTGGCGCCACCTTGCCAACACCTCGAGGCACTGACACTTAAATTGGAGGCTTTATTGAATGATTTCACGGAAAGAGGGCAAGTTTCTCGGAGGGATGAAGGAACTCGGAGGTCCTTTTCTCTAGGCGTTGCCCCTGTCCACTGGACCAGAAGGACCTGAAGTACCAAAAAAAATGAATATGAGGCTGTGCGGGGTGGAGCGTGGGGGACGAGTCAGGTGGGCAGTAGGCGCTGGTTCCACCTGGGGCAGGAGCCCTAGGGGATCACGGAGTGGGGAGGCCACCAGTAGAGCCCCGGGACTGTAGTATATACTGGGTTCCGCCTCGGGAAAGGGGACCCCACATCGACAGTGGGTCTTGTTGCCTAAGGGTTGCTCTCCGGCTGGCGGCTCTGAGACGGGGCAGTTCTGTGCATTGTGTTAGGAGAGGGCTCTGTGTTAGGGAGTTTGGGGCCAGGCAAGGACGGATAGCACAGAGTCAGAGAATGGGGGTGCCCAGGAGCCCCCAGCGGCCACTGCCTTACCCAGATCCGGGTGATCCAGAACGCAGTGCGCCACATAAGCCGGGTGGCTGTGCAGGATCTTGCATTTTTTGCAGAAAAGGATCTCGCAGCGCGCACAGACCCCACCACGCGGTGGTCGCCGCCGGGTCTCCAGCACGCACGGCTCCTCCGGGAGGATCCGCTTCCTGCGGGCGAGGACCCAAGAGCTCAGTGCCCCGTGCCGTCACCCCTCCCTGGGTGTCGGCTCCCTGCAGGTGGTGCTCCAGCGGAGGGGCGGGTCCTCACCTGTCGGCGGGCGCAGTCAGGCCGCCCAGCAGCGCGAAGGGGCTGAGCCAGGCCCAGAAGCTGCTGTCTGCGCGCCGCAGCGGCGCCACCTGCTGGGTGCTGGACTCCTGGCGCAGGGGGCTGTAGCTCACCGAGCGTCCGCCCTCGTCCCCCTCCGTCTCCGGGCGCTGCTCCGCGTCCCCGCCCGCGCTCTCCTCGCGCGGCCTCTCCTCGTCCTGATCCTCGTCCTCCACCTCCTGCTCTGCGTTCTCCTGTTCCCCCTCCTCGGTCCCGGGCTCCTCCAGTTCCTTCTTCCACAAGGGGGCCTTCACGCCTGCGGGCGGGCGGGAGGTCAGCGCAGTCCTGCTGTGCTCAATGAAAGGCCCGGGTACCCCGTCTGTTGCCCACAGTCCGATTCCTCAAAAAGGCAGGTGCCTGAAGGACGGTGTGTAGGAGATGCCCCGGACCACTAGGACTCCGTGGGAAGCTCAGAGAGTGCAGGATACCCAGGCGGGCCAGGGAGGTTTCCCTGGCCGCTCCTAACTTTCCGGGCTTCTGCACCACCCGGGTCATTCGGGGCACGTCACCTCACTTCTGTCAAGCCTAAATCCCTCATCTCTAAAATGGAGGGGAAACATGCCTATCTCAAGGATTGTGAGGTTGACATCACATCAGATCATGCTGTGTAAATCACCCAGCCCACTTGGCGATCCGGAATCAATCAACAAAGAGGATTGAGCCAACCGGGAGGAAACGATGGGTCCTCAACCGCCTTCCTTCTAACTGGCTCTGGGCGGTTCGGATCTCTCTAAGCTGTCAATAAACATTAACTGCCCTGATCGTCGTTTGAATAGGTGGTTGTTAGGGTCTTTTATTTTCTGAATGAGATTTCCTTCCTCCAAGTGGCTCTTGCCTTAAGAAACCTACATCATGAGTGGGCAGGCGGATGGGCCTACAGCGCCTCTGTGGGATTAGAAAAGTCTCCCTGCTTCTGGGCAAGTTGAATAGAAAAAGTCGCGTCTATGCTCAGACCAATTGGGAAAAGGCTGCCCTTCAAGTGAACCAGTTAGGAAAAGCCACTCCCTCCTTCCAAGCTTGAACACCATTTTCAGCTGGATCTCAGCCACCGGTCTTGCAGGTGCCTTTGTTGAAGACACAGACTTCACAACTCCAGGCACTCACTCTGTCAGAAAGGAAGTTCCTGGGCTGACAGGGAAACTAAGCCGTGTTACCTGGGAGGTGTCCACCACCCATTCAACACCCGTGCCTGCTGTCTGCCACACCCAAGTAGCTGGGTTTGTAATGGAAATGGAAGGGAGGGGAGGAAGGAAGGCACAACTTGTGGAGTTGGCTCTGAAAATGTCAAGAAAATGTCCTTTTGGTCCCTGTCCAACCTGTTTAAAGAGGTTGAGAGCAAAGAGAATGATAATTGGTGTCCCAGCCCATAGATATTGAGCACCAACTGCATGCAATCGCTGTGCCCAACTCTCTTTATACTTTGTGTCCCTTAATCTTCATAGACAGGCAATAAATGTGCCTCTGAATTTGATCCAGAACATCTGAAACCTTTAGAAAGAAGTTGTTTCAAAAATTCTTCCAGTTCTTGGGATTGCTCAAGGTGGAGAATTAGGGTCCATTGCACTTTTGTTTAAGAAAACACAATAGGGAACCTTACAACTGTGAAAAACCAGGCCTAGTACACAGCAAGAAAAGAGTCATGGGGACATTTCAGGAGGAGGGGGAGGAAGAAAAGGGATTTTACGTTCTGGACTGTGAAGTTTACACTTTGTCCCTCAGCACTGGGGAGTGACATGTTCAGAGGAAGACCCACTTAGGAGTCATTATAGTCCAGAGACAGAGATCTGAACAGGAGCAAGTGGAGATGAAGGAGCAGATGTGAAGAATATCTGGAAGGAGAAAGGAGAGACCTTGTAGCTAAGCGATATGGATGAGTAATTGAGAAAAGGCTCAACTTCATGGTGAAGGGCTGGTTCGTCCAAGCTAGAATCAAGAGGCTCTGTCTTCCACCCCACCTTCAGTCCAACTTACCATGCTTATCCATTCTCACCAAAGCTGTGCTGCCCACTTCCCCTGATCAGGAACTAGGATGTGAGGGGGTCCTCTGAACCCATAGAACTTGGTCTGGTCGCTAGGTATTGGATCTCAAGGGGGTGGGGCTAGAACCTCACCTCCCATAGGGTTCTACCCAGTAATAACTTCTTTTTCCAGAGTACCCAGAAGCACTCAAAACCCAGATGTCCCCTACCTTCCCTCTTGGAAAGGCATTAACGGAAGAAGAAGGTGGCTTTCATCACCAAGGGCTAGATTTAAATCACAGCTTTACCACATAAATATAAACGTTATCTGATCTTCAACATATTATCTCTCCTACCTTCAGTCTCTTCTTCTGTAAATCAGAGATAACAGCACAGTATTAGACTTTACCTAGCCCATAAAAAGCACTCAAAGCATTGTGTTTGCTTGTATCATTAGCGTTATCCTTCCTCTTCTGTCCTATTCCTGTCCTTTCTCACCCCATATTTCCAACTCCTATTTCCAGCTCATTGCCTTAGCTCCAAGGAACAGAAGGGAAGGGTGCCAAGAACAGTAGGAAGCAGAGCTCAGGAAATGGGCAGGTGTAGCCCTGAATGTTGTTTATGTGTGTGTGGGGAGGTGGTGGTAGTAAAATTATGGCTATTCAGGAAAATCCATTCCTTTCCTGGTGTTAAAGTGTATGTTAGCAGAGACAGAAATGTGTGTATAGACTCAGTCTGGAAAGCCCTTAGTCTGATAAGATGTGTTGCTAATCTCAAGGAGATCCCAGTCTCAGAGGGAAATATGATATGACCTTTCATCCAAGACTCAGAGGGGAGGGCTATGGAGTCCCTTCTTTTGGGTATCTTTCAGTTCAGCATAGGCCAAATTGGTGGGATGGAGAACACAGAAACCAGACCCAGCCCCCAAGAATCTCCACGTCACATGGGGGCAACCTCTCAAGAACTGTGAAATGTTACCCTACTTGTAAGCTATCGAATTAACCTACTGTTGTTTCATAGGTGCTGCCAGAAAACATGAGACTCCTAGGTCAGAAACAAAAGACTTCATTACTCCTGGCACAGAAATATCAGCATATTTGTGTCAATTTCCCTTGCCTCAGTGTCCCATGAATGTGACCTAAATGAGTGCCAATGGATACCTGCATATGCAATGGTTTGCATCATAAGAGAAACTCTGAGCTTAGGGAACCTGAATCTTTTATAACAGGCAGTAAGCAAACCTGCTCTTTGCTCTGGAAGGAGATATAAACTCTATCTTCCAAGATTGCTTACTATACAAAATACTTGAAAAGTAAATGCCGTGGAGAATTGTTTCCCAACAAACCCATTCTCCTTCAAACATATTTACCATGGCTCTTGACTGCAAAATTCAAAAGCTCACACGGCTAAGTTAAAGAGAAAGAATAGTAAGAGCTCACAGAATGACCAGAAGGGGGTGGAAGCTGCCTTCTTCCCTGTAAACTGAATAGGAATCAAAGAAGTGACTATAAAAACAACCAAGATCACATTATAGGAACAATTCAGTGTGGCCACTGAATTGCTGGGGGCCACTGCTGGGGACCACTTGCGGACACTGGCGCCATGAGCCATCTCCTTGAGACACTCCCTAATATGTAATGCCTCTAGCAGGCATGTTTGAATCAATAAGGCCGGGCTGTGGCTTGTAGGAAACATTTCACCAAGTCACCACAACAGAGTGTCCCTCTGGCCTAGTCATTCATCTCATCTGCCTACCCAGCCCCAGTCTTTTCTTTTGCCATCCATCCTTAGGATGTGCATTTCCTCTGCTTAGGGCTATTGTGGGTTTTGTGGGATCTTTACAAAAAGTTATGTTGCCTTAACAGACCCCTACCAGCATAAAAGCACACTGGAAATTGATCTCACAGAGTAGTAATACAGTCTTCAGTGAAAATGAGAGCCTGTGGATAATCCCACCGGCCCTGGGAACACACACGCCCCCTGCACTCAGACACCACCTTGGGAGACCTCTGGAGTGGGGAGAAACCACACCAATGTGTGTGTAGACTCAGATCTCTATTCAAAAGAGACTATTTTAAATCAGAAAAGAATGAGATATATTTTATTGGCAAGCTCAAGCATTATTTTCTGCCATTCATAGAAATCAAACCTAGAAGACAAGATGAGGTCAGTTATCAAAAATAAACCTACAATTTTTTTATATTAAACCTTCACTTTTAAAATTAATAGTATAAATAGCTCATTAACTTCTGCTTTTTGTTGTTTTGTTTTGGCTTTTGAGATAGAGTTTCACTTTGTTGCCCAGGTTGGAGTGCTGCGGCATCAGCCTAGCTCACATAATCTCAGGCTTCTAGGTTCAAGCAACCCTTCTTTAGCCTCCCAAATAGCTGGGACTACTCACAAAGGTTGGCTGATTTTTCTTATTTTTAGTAAAGATGGGGTCTCTTGTTCAGACTAGTCTTGAACTCTGAGCTTGAGGGATCCTCCTACCTCGGCCTCCCAGAGTGCTAGGATTATGGGCATAAGCCATGGTGCCCAGCCTCACTAACTTCTAATATCCAGGTATAAAGCAGATATGCAATATTAATTTTATTTATTTATTTATTTATTTATTTTTTGAGATAGAGTCTCACTATGTCACCCTCAGTAAAGTGCTGTGGTGTCACAGCTCACAGCAACTTTCAACTTTTGGGTTTAAGTAGTTCTCTTGCCTCAGCCTCCCAAGTAGGTGGGACTATAGGCACCCGCCACAATACCCAGCTATTTTATGTTTTTGCAGTTTTTGGCCGGGGCTGGGTTTGAACCTGCCACCCCCGTTATATGTGGCTGTTGCCCTAATCCTTTGAGCCACAGGTGCTGCTCACACCCAGCTATTTTTTTGTTATTGTGGTTGTCATTGTTGTTTAGCAGGCCCAGGCCAGGTTGGAACCTGGCCAGCGCCCTACCCACTGAACTACAGGCACCAAGCCTGCAATATTAATTATAGTTGAGTAATAAATGTAACATATAAGAAAAATATCGGCTTGGCGCCTGTGGCTCAAGCGGCTAAGACGCCAGCCACATACACCTAAGGTGGCGGGTTCGAATCCCCAGCCCAGGCCCGCCAAACAACAAAGACGGCTACAACCAAAAAATGGCCAGGCATTGTGGCGGGTGCCTGTGGTCCCAGCTACTTGGGAGGCTGAGGCAGGAGACTCACTTGAGCCCAGGAGTTGGAGGTTGCTGTGAGCTGTGATCCATGGCACTCTACCCAGGGGGATAGCTTGAGGCTCCGTCTCAAAAAAAAAAAAAAAAAGAAAGAAAAATATCCAAGCAGAGGCTTCTCAGGAGCTCTCCAGCAGACTTCTCTTTGAATCTCATTGGTCAGAACTAGGGCACAAACCCATTCCTAAACCAACCAGTGGCAAAAAAAGGGATTGCCAAGATTGGCCACGACTAGTTATTTGGTTGTAATTGGTAGCTTTGATCAAATAAGACTCATGGAGTATAGTTACAAAACAATTCCAGGTTTGTTTTTTTTTTTTTAATTGTTTCAGGTTGATTTGAGGGTACAAAGAATTAGGTTATAATGTTTGGTTTTGTTAGGTAGAGTCCATCTTATAATTATCTCTTGCCCTCAAGAGGTGTGCCCCTAACAATTTCTGTTTTGCCTCAAATAGTCCTTTTGAACCTGCTCAAGGGTTTTCCTCATCCCTGAAGGACAACTCAGACAGACCTTATGACTTATTCAGAGTGGTAGTATTAGGAAGCAGAAAACACCGTGGTCACTAAAATTTGGTAGGTACTACATCTTTCCTTCCTCCTGGCTGGGGCCTGCCATGGCCAGTGGCCTGTAAATAGGATGATGCGGGGGCCCAAAGACACGCTCCCTCTAGCCTCATCCCTTGCCTTTCCTTCCTCCTCAGCTGCCCAACACTGGTCTCTCTCTTTCCCTTCCCTAATCCAGGCAGCTCCTTGGATCCAGGACACACTGAATTCTGGGGTCCCCTTGTCCCTCTGCAATCCTCAGGATGCAGGAGGGTCCACTTCCAGCTTCCCCTCCACTGAGGCCTGTTCACCCTTCAGGAGGCCCCACTGAGCGTGATCTCAGTCTGTCTTCAACTTTTCTCTGACAAGAGGTTCACAGTAAACACTCACACCACAAAGTTATTCTTTTGCAGTTCTGCAGCTCAGAAGTCTGGAACGAGTCCTGTGGTGCTCAAATCAAAGTGTCAGCAGGCATGCTCATTCTTTCTGGAGACTCCAGAAAAGAATCTGTTCCTTAGCTACTCGGGAGGCTGAGGCAAGAGAATCACCTAAGCCCAAGAGCTGGAGGTTGCTGTGAGCTGTGATGCCACTCTACCCGGGGTGAAAAAGTGAGACTCTTAAAAAAACAATCTGTTCCTTGCTTCTTCCAAATTCTAGAGACTGCTGGCTTGTGGCCCCATCACTCTAATTTCTGCTATTGTCAGATCTCCCTCTGCCCCATACTTGTGATTACATTTAGGGCTCATCTTGACAATCTGGATAATATCCCCATCTCAAGATGCTTAATTATATTTGCAAAATCCCTTTTGCTATACATAGTATAAGATGACAGTTAGAGGTCCTGGGCATTTGGAAGTGGCTATCTTTTGAGTCTATTATTGAGACACACAACACAGCTGTAACATTCTCTAAATAAATCTTCTCTAGTCCTCTCCTAATCTGTGACCACCCAACTCTTCATTTGCTCTAAGTGGGAGAGAAGTCTGAGAATCAAGGATAATTCCTTGACAAATTCTGCATATGGGCTTAGTCCTTTTCTGGCTTATTGTATCTATGGTCTCTTGAAACTTTGCCAGAAACTTTGATTCTAACTCTACCATGATTGACTCAGGTAAACCATAGTTTTCTCTTTGGGGCTGGGCCCATATTCCCTAATTTCTTTTTTCTTTTTTTTTT